TAGATCTACTAGAAATGATAGAAATGATAGAAATGCTAGATTTCCAGCACAGTAATTTGAGCCAATCAGAATCAAGTTATATGTATTATAATTAGTGCTTTTCATCAAAATTGACCTGATTCTGTGATCCTGTGATTAGAATCACATAATCTTGTGCTCATTAGAATCATCTCGATAAGCTGAATCCAATAGTGGTTGTTTCATCCAATTTGGTTTGGTACATCAAAAGTTATAGTCAAAAATGTGTAAAACTCCTAATGTTAACAATATATTCATATATATATTGTTATGTATAAGATTATAAAACAGTTACTAAAACTTAAAAAAAGCAATCAATTAATAACTATAGAAACTTAGTATGTGCAAAAGAGTATGTATTTATTTATTATTTAATTTGTTATACATATTAAAAAAGAGTGTGTTTATTAATTTTTTTATTTTTATTTATAAATTATATATATATTTGATTCAAATATCATATAAATCATATGTATATAAAATAATTTGATTACATTGAACCTTCCAAGCTAAGTATATATATATTCTGATTAATACAGTTGTTTATATTATAGTGCTCTAATTTTTTTTTAAATCTTTTGGTATAAATGCTTTAGAATGCTATATATTAATATTCTAATTTAATATTATATATTAAGTATATTATATCTAACTCTATTATAACAATATATATATTTAAATATACTTGTATAAATAATATAACTTGTATTTGTTGAACTTTTCTATATAAAAACATGCAGCTTTAATAAGATCTGCTTTGGTTAACTATGTTTTGAACAGAAATCTAAATGAAATTATAAATTTATATTTTAGTAGTATTTATTTTTTATATATATATTAATTATTTTCTTAATATATAGATTTTGGTTTGTATAAAAGAATGTTTCAACAAATTTATGAAATAGCCATTAAATTCTACAAAAGTATCCACAATGATGAAACCTCATATAGACAGATGACAATACAATTAATTCATTATAAAAAGAATAATTATCTATTTAATTTTAAATATAATTTTTCAAAATCACTCAGTTTATAGTAGGATGTAATTGAAGATAAAACTGATGATCTTTAAAATCTTGCTAAATTATTTTTTCAATTATACCTTTGCAAGCAAGTTGTAAGTGTAGTTTTTCTATTTTAAGATGCTATATAGCATGTATTACTCATAATTATTTTCTAAATGACTTGAAAACATGGCCAAAATTCACTCTTTTTATATTTCTAACCTTAAAAATAATCTTCAATTTTATGAAAAAGAATTATCGGAGAGTGAGTTATATGATAGTGCATTAGAACTAACAATTTATACTAACATCGAAAATAATAATACAGTTTTAGATCAAAATAATGTTTTAGAATCATTTCAATATTCAAATAGTGATAAATTAGAAATTAGATCAATGGTTAATTTGTCATATAAAAGTTTTGGTAGGCAAGGTAATATAAAAATGTCTCATTTGGTAAAACAAGAAAGTGGTAATATGGATTTTGATCCTATAGCAATTGTGAAAAATGAACTTTGATCAGCAAATATGCTATAAGCATATTCTAATATATGTTTTATTTTCATAAAAAGTATATTATTTGTAGTTGATATATATAACTTTATTTCTATTATTTATACACTCTAAGCTTCTTTAATAGTAATTTGTTTTTTCAGCAAAATATTAACTAAATATTATAGTAAATTTTGAACTTAATTATTTTGGGCTTATAATTTTTTTTTCATATTTTTAGTTATAATAATTTGCAGACTGAACCACAGCTATATATTGAATTTAAATAGGCATTTAAATAATGTTATTTTATAATTTTCATTTTTTCTTTTAAACAACAAATTTATTCATTATTATTCATTATTAGTTTTAGATTTTATTATTTAAAAAATATATTATTTTATATTTTATTTGTAGAATTTTATAAGTTTTCTCTGAATAAAATATAAAGTACTAAAGTAGATTCAAGGTTCTTATGCATTTTTAATTAGGTCATTAGTTCTATGCATTCTTTATTTTATATAAATTATAAATCTTATAATTGGCCAATAAATAATGTTATGTTGAAAGTTTTGACTAGTTCCAAATATAGTTTGAGTTATGACAAAATGCAGAATCTGATAAAAACCTTTAGGATTCTACCTAAATCCCAAACTACTGGGTTTGGTTTACATCATTAATCATATATAAAATACTTAAAATATCAAAAGGTAGAATTCCAAAATAGTTCTATAAACTACACAATACATTTTATGTATCCACAATATCATTCATCTCTATTATCACTCCTAACCCATTTCTACAAACTTTATAACATTAACAAGAAGCATATAGATTCTTGGAAAAGTTAATAATATCTGAATTATAGGAAAAATCCAAAAAATTACTAACTCAAATAACATAATACATATTAAACACTATCACTTACTACTACTAGAACTTCAATATACAGCCCTATTCTCTAAATGTCTAAACTGCAAATATACTTGTACTGCTACTAATTAGTAATGTATAATTATACTTAAAATATTCCAATGCATTGCCATTAAAGTATCTAACTCAAAATTTCTCTGAACAAATATCAATGACCTAATACAACACCATCTATACTTTACAAAACAAAAACTACTACATTACTAAACAAATTACCAACACCATACTCAAATGTTGTCTTAGTATCACAAAATAACTCTTATCTACCAACTATATCAGCTTCATCAAACAAATTTTTACAACAACTATTTATACCAAACACTGCTATTACATAGTTGCTATATCTGACAACAATTAATTTAAAAGCTAAAAAACTTTAACTATATCTTTATGCAACCATAATTCAACTAAATACACTACACTCACAGGCCCAATTTGCCTGAACTCTAGCACTAACCAATATTATATTCTTTTTCAAATTACAAGTTGGTCTTTAATCACTCAAATATACCTTTTTGGCATTATAACAATACTAACTACTGCCTTACAATACTGTCAAATAATTGTTTTGATAACTCACAAGCCCACAATTAACTATATTAACTCATTTCTTATACTAATACAAAATTATACTCTTAGTTTACAAAAACACAATCACTGGTCACTTAAACTTTTAATTCTAACAATAATTATTTACAAACATCTTAAAATTAAATGTTTCTATATGAGGATTCTGATAACTACCCTCTTCATAACAGAACAACCCATTTTTCTACCAAAGCACAATAATATAAACTTTATATCCTTCCTCATGCTCTTGATAATAACAACTTCTACCTTATTTGAAATAGAACTCCAATAGAAAATAAAACCTATCATTTTATTCAATATTTACAAAATGCAATAAATACTACAAAATGGCATGCTTTAAACAGAACTAGTTATTGGAATATTATATACCAAAATACTAATTGAGATCTAACACATCAATTCATTAATTATAACAACAAACCTAATACTCACAATACCTATCCAAAACATTTTCAACTAAAAAGTTTCAAAATCAAGTTTCTACTAAATAAGCTATCTACATTTTTAAACCTACATTATATAAAACCTAAAACATATACTAATCTATCTGTAATCACTACACTTTACATATAGAAGACAATCTACACTGGCTGAAATGCATAGCAAACCCTATTTTCCTTAATCAGCTAATTCAACAAACTATATACAAGTTTGGTATGAAACACAAACTTAAAAACAGCAATATATTTATGCTATTGCAGCAGTTTACCCAAACACAAAATATCACACAACTGCTTTTCAAAATACAAGATCTGATCCCTGACAATATGTCTACAGACTGCAATATTACTTCACATTTATTTACCAATCTATTTCACAAAATATTAAACAATATATACAAACAAATATGGACAAAAAGATATAAAGCAATACATTAAAATAGCTTACTAACAAACACACTTACTGTTACAGTACCTGAATATTTAGCTACAGATCAAATAGTTATAAGTAAATATAAAAAATAGGCAACTATTTTTCATACTACAAATATATCTACCTTCTACATTGCAACACTAAACCTAGAAAAGGTCTGATAGCCTACTCTAATAGAGTTTTGGGCTGAGAATAAATTAGTTCTAGCTATAGGTCCCTGCAATAATTTATGTAAAACATTTTAATTAATGTAATACCAAATTGTTTAATAAAGACTGAAACCATGCCTCACTCTAAAAAAAAAAAAAAAATAGTAATTTATCAAAATTGAATTAATAATGCAAAGTAGTGAAATATACCATATTACAGGTAAATAAGAATCAATTATAGACTTAACTAAATCATTATAGATAGATCCAAATAATGACATTTACATTAAAAAATTATAGTAACTCCTATTATAGGATGAAAAGATATGAAGAATCACTTGCTGATTTAAACAAATCTTCAGAAATTGAACTAAATAATGCATTGATATTAAGAAATCATGGAAATACTCATCTTATAATAAACAGATATGAAGAGCTGCCTTAGATTTAAACAAATCATTAGAAATTAAACCAAATAATGCAGACATATTAACAGATGCAAAATCACTTATTTTATAATAAAAAATATGAAGAATCACTTTTAAATTTAAACAAATTATAGAAATTAAACCTGATATACTTATATTTAAAGATTGTAGAGTCACTTGTCATATGATGAGCAGATATAAAGAGTTTTGCAGATTTAAACAATCATTAGAATTAAACTAGAAATGCATATACATTAAGAAGTTGCAAAAATACTTAGTATGATGAGCAGATATGATGAGTTACTTGCAAATTTAAATAAGTTATTAGAAATTGAACCTGGTAATATATCTACATCGAAAGGTCATGAAGAATTTTTCGTACAATGGAAAGATATTAAGAGTCACTTGCAGATTTAAACAAATCATTAGAAATTGAACCAAATGATACAGACACATTAAGAAGTCGTGAAAACACTTGTCGCATAATGTGGAATATAAAGACTCACTTGCAGATTTAGACAAATCATTAGAAATTAAACCATATGAGCATTGGAATTAAGAATTCATGGTGACACTTATTGTTTGATGTGTATCAACTTCCTTCTATTAGGAATGAGATTTCTGCAATCCAATCAGTTAATATATAAAAAGTTTGTGATCGCATAGAGTAACAATTAACCTGATCTTAGAATTTATTAGATACTTTAAGGTAAGTTTATTAACTGTTTTACTTTAAATTATGAACTTTTTTTGACTAATATATATTCTATGTTTATATTTTATATATGCATTTAACTTAGAATGAAGCTATAAACCGATCAAATGTCTGGTATTAAGCATGTAATCTCGGTGGGCAATTCGAGAAAAATGAAAATTAAATGTTAATAATTGCAACAAAATTTCATTTAGGACGATTTAAATAATTCATTTTGATAAATCAGATAAAATTCAAAGGATTAGATAGTAGATAAATAATTTTGAATGAATTTATTAGAAATATATCCATTTTACTCTAACCAAACCTTTATTATTTATAGTACATTTGATAAAGTTTTTATTAATTATTTTTGTGAAATCGCATAAAATCTCAACTTTTCAATTTAGAAATTCAATGTTGTATATTTAATTGGTAACATAATAAATTTTGTAAAAGCTATTCAAAATAGGTTTGATATTTGAACTTTGGTAATCATTGAATCGTAAATCGGAAATTTTCGGAAAAATGAACCAATCAAATGTCGTGTAACCAGGAGAATTTTTGGGGGGTCGCTGTATAAGTTGTTTGCTCTAACCCGAAAGTTTTCAACCCGACCCGACCCAACCCGTTCGGAGCACTAACTTCGTCTAAAGCAAAATAAAATGGTATCGGTATGTAAAAATCTATCCCTAATCCGAACTACGATTAATGATACAATTTTACCTTGAAAACATTTTAAACACCAAACTAGAAACTATATATGCTGGATGGATTTCAACATCGAACCCAATCTGAAAAACACTATAATGAAATAAATAGTCACACCAGCAATTGAAACAGCTATTAAAACCAATAAACAGAGTATTAGCACCTCAGACTCTTGACGGCTGGTAATAGAAATACCATAAACTAATTGTAATAAGATTATAAATACTATGCCTATGCCATCGACAATTATAAAAACCATGAAAATTATTGTTTTTATAGTGAACCCTTCCGTCGTGTAAGAAAATACTGTTGGAAAAATTAAGAATAAAAATGTTGACAAGGCAATAAAGATTATTGTTCGAAATGGTCTAAGTTTATTTATTGGAATCATAAAGATTACAAAAATTGCTGTGACTAGGGGTGGTCAGTTACGGTTATGACCGGTCAATGATCTGTCATAACTGTAACCGATATCGGTCAATCAAAGGTTTGTGACCGGTTAAAATCCTGACCGATACTATTTTAGCGATGTTAATTGATTCATTACAATGTTGTTATTTATATTACACATTAATAAGCGATTTGAAAAATAATAAGTTTAAATTATTTTTTCTTGGTGTTAATCATATGTAGAGGTGAGCGCAATGC